TTTGTCATTCATTTATGTCTTTTAAATTCCATCAATTTGTCTAATTGTACCCTTTACCAAAAAAAAAAAAAAAACAAGAAGGTGATCATATGGAATAATTTATAACTTTAAAGTATAAGAGATGACGCTGAAAAACATGGCCAATCTTGGGTTTTTGTGTGCGGATTCAGATCTGATTATTTGATTAATATCTTATTGTTATTTAACTAATACCAAAATGACATTATTTGAGTAATATCAAATTCAGATCGTATATGCTGGTTAAAAAAATAAATCAAATCTTATATATTTCTTTTGTTTAAAAATATAAAACATTTTTAAAAAAATCTCACTCCCGATAAAGTAATTATCTACTTTCAAACTAACTCTATCTTTTCATATTTAACCCTATTAAATACTCTACAATAAATATAAAGTCATTATTAATGAGGATACTTTTAAAAAAAGATAATAATTATATTTTAAAAGATTAAAAATACTTTATATTTTTAACATTTATCCCTTTAAAAATATTTTATATTTTTAATCGGATGGATGGAACATGTGGTATATATATATATATATATATATGTGCGCGCGTAGATGTTGACTTCTTTTGTTTTGGCCAGAAATACGGACTATTGACTAGTAATCATTCAAATTGAATGCGTGTGAATATTTAAATAAAAGGGGTCATTATTTGACTAATATCTTTCTTGGTAAAAAATTGTTGGGCAAAATAATCATTTGCTCTCGACAATTTTGATTCCTTACTTAAAACTCTGCCTATACTTCGATACGACTTAGTTTATATAATTTTGATTCATTAAAGTTTAGTTTTTAAATTTTGATTTGATGTAATTCAATTTTTATAATTTTAATGATTTAAAATGGTAAACTTTGCATTTTTAAAATAAAATTATGAAAACCAAAGTAATTTCTTGAAGATAAGTGAGTAATGTTTTAAATAATTAAAATTATAGAAATTGTACTGAGTTAAAGTTGAAAGATTAATTTCAACTAAATCAAAATGATAGAAATTGAGTTTAATAGATTAAAGTTTTAGAACTATTATATATGTGTTCCATTAGAATATGAAAAGGAAATTTAATCGTACAAGTCAATGTGTTGAGGTACAAGTAGATTTGTATGAATGGCAATGGTAAATTTTTCATTTATTATACCTGAAAAATTACAACAACTGTTATAAATAAGGAGTTAATAGAGAAAAGCAATTATTATGATATTCTTTTTTTTTGTTTGCCCACAAGAAGTTGGCTCCGCTAATTGTCTCCTTCAAAAAATAGAAAGAGCAAAGAGTAGACCTCTCATAACTTTTGTACAAGAAAATTATTGATGAGAGTGTGAGTTTGCATATACACACACACATATACATATACATATATAATTAATGGCATGTAATATATAAATTGGTTCAAAAGGCAAATAATGACAAAATAAGATGGGGGAAATAATAGTGATAAAGAATAATGATACTATTTCTCTATAAAAAAAATATTTAAAATAAATGAAAATATTTCCAAACAATTGGCAAAAATTAATATAGTGAAATTTTGATTTGTAACAGCTATTGCTTGCCAGCTGAGAACAGCTATTGCTATTATCACTTTTCACCAAACCATTTAAAGCCCATGCAAGAGGCATCAATAATTTAGATATACAGCCTGGATTGAATAAGTAACCGATTATTTGGGCAAATAATCAATTTCAATAAAAATGTTGGTAATTAATTATTGAAGCCATAATCATGTTTTAAAATAAACTTTAAAAGATTACTTATAAATTTAATTTTATCATTAAAGTATTAATTATTTGTTAAAATCTCTTACCTGTGAATATTACCCCTTGTTATTATACATATAATTTTCTCATCTCTCACCCTCGTTACCTGGCTTATCTAACTTATCATTATCCATAACATTATCATCAAATATAACTCATATTTGTGATGTCATTAGAGATCACTTATATATTATCATTTTCATTAATTATTATAAAATTGATGTTTGGTATTTAAGAATTATATATTTTTCTTTTATTAAATTTATTTGAACTTAGATATATTGAGTTATTTATTTATGTAAATTAAAATGTTAATATTAATATAATTTAAATTTCTATAATTAATCAGATATATAAGTTAAATAATATATTTTACTTATTAAATAAAGTTTATCAAATTTAATAATATTAGATACAATTTTATTAATAACTTAATTTTGAAAAGCAATATCTTTTATACTAATTTGCAGAGCTAAAATTAATTATGACTAAATTTTTTAAATATCTTCAATTGTATTAAAATTAATTTAAAAAAATTCAAACAGATTGCGTTATAACATAATCAATTATAATTAAAATTAAGAATATTAATTAATTATACTCAATTAAAATCTAAATGGACTCATAGTAGATATTTCCACATGTTTTTATTGTGGAATGCTTTTTAAAAAGATTTTTTTATTTTTAATATAAAACATTTAATATGATATTATTTATATTTAAACTGGTGAATAACTATAAAAGAATATAATGTAAATTTAAAAATTTAATTACAACTGAAATTAAAAATTTATTTTATTATTAAATAAAGTTAATAATTTAACTATTTTTTTATTTTGGTGAGATAGTATTATAATAAAATCTGAAAAGAGTGGTAGATATATATTTTCTTCATTTAAAAATATAAGGCATTTTTAACTGAATCTCACCTTCAATAAAATAGTTACATACTTTTCAATTAACCCTATATTTTTATATTTACATCTATTAAATACCCTACAATAAATATAGAGTCCTTATTAATTAGGATATTTTAAAAAAATTATACCTCAAAAGATTTATTTTATATTTTTTAACATTTAATTTTTTTTAAAAATATTTTATATTTTTAAATAAAAAAAGTATTAGATAATAGATTCAGACAATTCAAAGCAAATGTCCTTCCCCCCTCCCCCAAAAAACAAAAGTCAAATGAGTTTAACAACCTTGCATCGGAAGTTACGTACGTGGCTTGATATTTTCCTTCCATTTTAGGAAGCAGCTTTCCTTCATTCTTTCCATTTTTGGGGAGAATCTCAAATAAAAAAAAAAATTGATAGCAACAGTTTAAAATAATAGAAGGTTCAGGAATGTAGCAGCGTTCCGTGCTATTTTTTCTTATCTAGTGATTTTTCTTTTCTTTTCTTCTTCTTCTTCTTGTTTTTTTTTTTTAGGTGTGAAAACTAAGGCTTAATTTGATGGGCATGAATATTTTGGCAATATACAAGCAATATAATTTACCGTATTTTGTGGGTAGCTCTTTAATGAGGAGTGGACTTATCTTGTGCCTCTTGATATATGGCCTGCCTTGGAATTTGCTGATATAATAATTGTCATTTTAAAAAAATAATAGGATAAGTTTAAATTTAAATATATATACTCCCTACGCTCCTTATTATTACAGGGTAATTTGAAAAAGATTTTGAAAAAATTACTGAGAAATCTCACATAAAAGTTTTAATTATTTTAAATTCTCATAAAATATATAAATTGTTGTGAAGTCTCAAATCACATATAATGATAACTTAATAAAAGAAAATGACAACTTGATCTTTAAAAGTCTTTTATATATTTTATGAGATCTCTTAATGATAAAAATCTTGACAAGGGATTTGATTTTTTTCAAAGATTTTTTAGTACTTAATATAGGATACTTGATGAAATATTAATTATATTTTTAAAACATTATCTCTATTTAAATTTATTAACTATGAAGAGGATGTAATGTAAATTTAAAAAAATTATTTAAATAGGAATAAAATTAAAAATTTATTTTATTTTTAAATAAAATTAATAACTAAACAATCTCATTGGTTTCAACGAAGTAGTTAAAGGCACCTTACTAGTTTATAATAAGGATAGGAGAGGTATTATATTTTTCATATAATATACAATTATTGAAGGAAATGTTGATTTTATTGAAAATTTTATTATTATTTTTTGATTAATGATTATTTAATACATTCAATCGTTAATACATAAACTTATAATTAAACATGTCAATATGAGTAAAATTTATCATATGTTTTGGTTAATATTGCTTCATTGCATTATTTTTATAAGATGAACATTCATAAGTATTGAGTCTAATAAAAAGAGTCAATGTTTGATAACATAATGAACAAATATTTAAATTTTTATTAAAAGAGAGATTCATATTTAGTATTTGTCTTAAATAAAAAAAATTATCCTCTAACCCAAAAACACCTATGCCAATAAAAAATTCTAAAAAAAGCAAATATGCATGTGCGGGCAGGCCTCGATCTATATATAGAAATGAGGACACATCACGCACATGTACCGGATGTAGATGGGGATAAGGACACGCGTACTATAGAGATGCGATATGTCGATAGAGATTAAGACACATGTACATACATAAAGAGGGTGCAATAAAGGCAATTTAATTTCAAATAAGAAGAAAAACTTTTGAAATATTACTATAAGATAAAAAGATTGAATTGCTATAAGATCAAAAGATTAAATTAAAAATAATTTTAGATAAAAAATTAACATATTTCTATTTTTTTATTTTATAAACTTGTTAATTAAGGAATGTATAATTATTAATCAATAAATGATTACTTGTTTATAATCTACACTTGTGTCTATTCTTATAAATAAGCGTTTTCAAATTTTTGAAGTTGTCTGTTAATAAATAATTTATTGTTAAATGTAATTGAGTATTTATTAAGTAATTAATGATAATTTGTCAACTAAAAAAATGAGCAAGAATATTATCGTTTTTTTTTCATCTAAAACTATTTTTAAATCAACTCCATGATTGTGAATTCGTGATATTTTAGAATTTCTTGATTATTTTTTAATATTAAATAATTTCTAAAGCGATATCATGATATGCGTGCCAGCAAGTCTCATATCTATTATTAGGTTTCGTGTTCTAACAAAAGAGAGGGAGCGTTGGCCCAAAAAGCAAAAAAAAAAAAAAAAAAAAAAAAAACGAGAGAGAGTGAGACAAGGACAAACAAACATATTCATATAGGGATAAGTAAGTTAGTAAGATCTTCTGCAGAAGACTATTGTTCATCTTTGAGCTTTTGCTGGGTTCATCATATATCTGAGAAATGAAGGAGATGACCGGAGGAAGAAGAGCAGAGAGTTTGGCATTTGCAGTGAATGGAGAGAGATTTGAGCTCTCAAGCGTTGACCCGTCAACCACTCTGCTTCAGTTTTTGCGTTCTCAGACTCCATTCAAGAGCGTCAAGCTCGGCTGTGGTGAAGGTCTGTCTCTGAGTTCCTCACTAAGAGTTCTTGATTTATAAACTGGCAATGGTTTTTTTTCTTTTTTGTATGGTAATAAACCATTCAAATGCTATTTGGAGTAATGTGAATTTGAGTCTGTGTTTGAGCCTCATTTGGTTTGATAAATTCATAAGCATATCAAGATCTTGTTGATTAAGTTTAAGGGGTTGGTCTTTACTGTAGATTCAAAAATTAAAAGCCATAACAAAAAGATTGACTTTTTGCGATGATAGGTGAAGTAATCATCGCTGAAAGAGAATATTTTGCGATGGCTTTTTAAAATTGCCACTAAAATTAAGTTTTAGTTTCTATGACGGCAAAGTAAAATTGCCACGACAAGCGGTAACTCGAAAAAGTAAATCTTTTTTTTATTTTTCGTTTAGTGTATTATTAAAATTTGTTGTATTATTGTAATTTTATGATGAAATGATAAAAAAATGTAATAATTTTTTGTTTTTATATATTTTATGCTTAAATTGGTACTTTAAATAATGACACTATTTTGATCCCAATAAAGTTTAAAACGTTTTTTTTTCTGTTGACTAATTTTAAATATTAAAATTTCTCTGTGATTCCATATTTTATACTAACTGTATATTTGATTTTTAATGCTATTTTATTTTTAGAATATATAATACTAATTAGATATAATTTTTTATTTCATCAACTTTATTTACTTATTGAATGCACTTTAAAATTAATGATACATCTATATATCGATATCATATATATAGAAAAAAAGGCATAAAATTCAACTATTATATTATTGGTGTAACTACACACATCTTATTAGCTTATTTCTGTAGAGTTGCTAGCATATTGATAAAAACCTATGAAGCAATGAATTTGTCAATACAAATTTCTAATTTGAACAATTTGTCTACACATCTAATTTGGTGGAATGCTTAAATTGTAGTAATGAGCCTTTATTTTCAAAGATTTTATGATGAAATTGATATTTTAATTGATAATACCACTTGTCTATATTATAAAACAAATAAATAGTAAATAATCTGTTAAAAATTTTAATGAAAGGAAAATATAAAATATTTTCATTTTAACTATTCATACTGCTTGTTTACATGATTGAATTGATATTTTAACCAATAATGTCTTTAATTTTTTTACTTATTTATATATATATATATATATATATATTTCATTCATATATATATGTGAAGTAATTTATTAATATATTAAATAAATATAATTTATAAAAATTAAATTAATTATATATTATATTATTAAGAATTTAAAGATAAAATTTAATTTTTATTTTATGTTAATATTAAATTAATAATTATAGTATTTTATATTATTAATATTAAATTTATTATATTTATATTTCATTTTAAGCAAAATGAATATTATAAATATTATATGTTTATATGAAATAGAATTTGGATGGCATGGCAGTATTCATCGGTGTTGAAAGGAACACTTTGGCGGTGATATTGAAGTGACCGGTGATATTAAAGTTATCGGTCAATTTCTAATGGCGTTTTCTTGTTATTTTTGTTGGCAGCATTTGCCGCCACTTAACGTATAGTTTTTGACAGTTGTTGATTTCAATCAACATTGAAATCTAAAAAAAAGTCAATTACTTTTAATAGTAAGAGTGTTGATCTTCTCCTACGGGAGTCCAGCCATTCCTTCTATCACTAGTATTGATAGAACTTTCCTATTATATTAGATTTTTCAATAGCTAATTTAGAGACTTTGTTGATTGATATGAATGTGGAGAATGATCTCTGGTTTATTTAGATTTCAATGTTTCGATTGTCATAGATGTACGCTAGTGCTTGTAAACTTATGAGGTCAAATTTTAATTGTAATTATTATTGTTGTTGTTTTATTATGCAATAAATATGATTATAATTTATTTGACTTAACTTTGCACAAAATTCTTGAGTTGATGGCTAGTGTGGTTGGAATTAGCTTTGTAATTTGATTGTAATTAACTATGTGACAATTAACTTTGTTCGGATGAAATTGAGATATTCACTTTCCACAATGCATACGTGTTCATGACACAAACATGCACACGTGTGCGCAAATAACACACATATGTAAATACACTTATTGTTTATAGAATTTTTATTTTTATTTATTTATGAAAAATTAAATATTTGAAAGTTACTACTTCTTTTCATTAAACATTAGTTTAGCTTCTAAGAAACAGAATAGGTACCCTTTGTTGTTTTCAATTATGGGCTGACTTTACGGTTAGCTTTCTCCTTCATTTATAATGGAGGACGCACAATTACACTTATTGTAGTAATGTATATGCTATGATTTGAAATTATTGATGTAGTTTCAATTTATTTATTGCACAAGACACATTTTTTTAATTTGTTGTAGTGTGCATGCTATGATTTGAAATTGTTGATGGAGTTTCCATCTATCAATTTATGGAATATTTGAAAGTTTTGCCATGATTCATTTCGTTGAAAATCTAATTCAAAGAAATTAAACAAAATATGATACACTACTCGTTGTTTTCAATTATTTGTTGACTTTAAGGTTAAGTTCACAAACACATGCACGTATATACACGTACTCTTATGTAGAGCTGTCAATTAGGGCCGAGCCCGTAGGGCCGGCCCTTTTAGGCCCAAAAAAATTGAGGACCGGGCTTCTATTTTACCTTTAAAAAAATAAATCGGGCCTAAAAGGGCCAACCCTTTTAGGCCCGAAAATAAATTTAGGCCCGTTTATAATTTTTTTTAAATTATAATATAGAAAAATAAAAAATTAAATACATAATTAAAAAAAATGAACATATTAAATGCATTCATCCATCCTTCATTTATTTATTAAGATTTAGTTGATAATATTAGCTAAGTTTAATTTTTATTGGTATTCACTTTGATGTTGCTATTTAATATTAGACCTAAATATTTTAGTTTTCTTTATTGTTGTGGTGTAAATTGATTTAAATTTATTTTCTTAAACTTAATTTTATGAATAATAACTTTTTTTATGATTATAAATATATATTTTATAATTTTTAATTGAAAAAATAATTTTAAAAAAATAGGGCTAAGGCCCTGAGGGCCAGCCCTTTAGCCCTGAGGGCTAGGGTCGGACCTTAAAAAATGGAACCCTGACATGCAATTGAGCTTATTAGGGCCAGCCCGTTTAGGCCTTGGCCCTTCAAGGGCCGGTCCTTTAGGGTTGGGCTGGCCCTAATTAACAGCTCTATCCTTATGAATGTTGATTAAAGTAAATTTGCATTAGCGCGGGAACACAAACGTATGTTTCTTAAGTTTAAAGCCATTCCTTTATGGTTGTAAAATTTCTTTAGCTTCTCCTTCACGGTTCAATCTATATGGTTTGCAGGTGGATGTGGCGCTTGTCTTGTTTTAATATCCAAATATAATCATGTGTAGAACCAAGTTGAGGATTTCACAGCAAGTTCTTGTCTGACGCTACTCTGCAGCGTACATGGATGTTCCATAACTACAAGTGAAGGTCTTGGAAACAGTAAAGATGGCTTCCATCCGGTTCATGAAAGAATTGCAGGGTTCAATGCTTCTCAATGTGGATTTTGCACTCCTGGAATGTGTGTCTCTCTTTATGGAACTCTTGTCAATGCTGACAAAACACATCGTCCTGAGCCTCTTTCAGTGTTCTCAAAAGCCACAGCTGTTGAGGCTGAGAGGGCCATTGCTGGAAATCTTTGTCGTTGTACTGGATATCGACCACTTTCTGATGCTTGCAAGAGTTTTGGTGCTGATGTTGATTTAGAGGACCTAGGGTTAAACTCTTTTTGGAGAAAAGGAGAAAGGGATGATTTGAAGAAAAGTAGGTTGCCTAAATATGATCGTCACCACAAACAGAGTAAATTTCCTGAATTTTTGAAGGAGATCAATCCTGATCTGTTCATATCTTCTGAAAGGCATAGTTGGCTCAGCCCCACAAGCCTAAAGGAGCTCCAAGGCTTATTGGAATCAAACAATAATGTTGGAACCAAGATAAAGCTTGTTGTCAGTAATACAGGAATGGGTTATTACAAAGATACAGGAAGCTATGACAAATATATTAATCTGAAGGGAATTTCTGAGCTCTCAAAGATAAAAAGGGATCTGACAGGGATCGAAATTGGAGCAACCGTGACTATATTCAAGGCTATTGAAGCTTTAAAGCCAAAGAGAAAATGTGACCCTCTCTCGGACTTTGATATGATACTTGAAAAACTTGCTGATCACATGAGCAAAATAGCCTCAGGGTTTATAAGGAACACAGCCAGTGTAGGTGGCAATCTGGTGATGGCACAGAAGAATCATTTTCCTTCTGATTTAGCAACAATACTCCTTGCTGTGGACACAATGGTTCATATACTGAATGGTATAAAATTTGAATGGCTTCCACTGCAAGAATTTCTGGAAAGGCCGCCAATAGGATTGGAAAGTGTGATTTTAAGTATTAAAATTCCAAGTTGGGAATCCAATAAAAGTAATCCTAAAAAGCACACGAGGAAAATTCTCTTTGAAACTTTTCGAGCTGCTCCTCGACCGCTTGGAAATGCGCTGTCTTATTTGAACGCAGCTTTCTTGGTTGAGGTTTCTCCAGGAAAAGATTCCGAAGAGAGTGTGATAGATAATTGCAGGCTTTGTTTTGGAGCTTATGGTACAAAACATGCAATAAGAGCAAGCAAAGTTGAGGAGCTACTGGTAGGAAGGATATTAAGTGCCAGTATTGTATATGAAGCTATTAACTTGCTTCCAACTGTCGTTGTACCTGAAGAAGGAACTTCAAGCATCGCTTATCGATTAAGCTTGGCAGCTGGTTTTCTCTATAAGTTCTTGAGCCCTTTGATTGATCATTCCGATGAAAAATTAGGTTATCACTCAAATTCATACACTAGTTCGTCAATCATTAGGGCTTTTAACATAGAAGAGAATAAGGGGCCAGTTCATCATGATAAACCTCCTACTTATCTATCATCTGGAAAGCAAGAGATTCAAGTCGATGAGGAGTATCACCCTATTGGCGAGCCAATAATAAAATCAGGGGCAACGTTACAGGCTTCAGGTTTGCTTAGTACATTGAAGTTAGAAAATCATCTGACAACCTCTTTTCCTCCCATATTCATGGCATTTGAAAGTAAAAAGAAATGTTTTAACAAAAAATTATTCTTTTCCTTTTGCAAAAACTTCTATTCTATCTTTGACCCCTAACCATTTCATCACAGTAAAAATATATTTTCATTCCAGGAATTCTTGCAGCATGCAATTTTAACACGATATATCATTGATTACATGATTCAGCTACAAGTAAAACTAATTAATGTTTTAAACATCTCAATTTGATCTCTTAGTTTGAACCAATATTCATATGAATTCTTTAATTAGTTATCATTTATTTGAAGTATAGAATACCGCTAGTGATTTATGTTTCCTAGACTTCTTATTGGAAGGAACTTCTGCATACACATTCTTGGTTCCTACAGACGTATAGTTCACCTTCAATGCTTCATCTAGTCTTTATCTAGTAGACTAAGCTTATATTTCTCATTTTTGATGTCTCTTAACAGTATGTGTTAGAATACGATTTTATTAAGAAGTACATATTTTACAATTAAATCATAGGTGAGGCTGTGTTTGTGGATGATATTCCTTCACCAACAAATTGCCTACATGGAGCATATATTTATAGTACTAAACCTCTAGCAAGGGTAAAAAGCATAAAGCTCCAGCAACAAGATGGAGTGAGGGCAATCATTTCAAGTAAAGACATTCCTGATGGTGGGGAAAATGCTGGTTCTATGTCTCCGTATGGTGTTGGTGAACCTTTATTTGCAGAAGAGATTGTTAAATGTTTTGGTGATCGTGTTGCCTTTGTGGTAGGTGCATGACTCCCTCATTTTTCCTCTTTTCTGGTGTTAAGATAATAGCTATATGAATAGTCATCAACTCCTTGTAAAGGGTAGAAGAATGGGACCGATTATGGGACATACAATGCATTGCAAATCTATAATCATTACACTTCAACCGCTGAAAGGAAGATACTTTTCTGATCTTGTTTATACGTTATTTCTAATATGTTTTAAGAAAATCAAAGAAAATTTTAAAACTCATTAATTCTATACTTTTTTTGTATCAAACCTCTCTAAACCTTCCCTAGAGGGAAGGGGGACCCCACACACATCCATCACTCACTCACCACCCAGCACACGGCACACAACCTGCACAATGACCCGCCTAACCTAACAAATTTTTAATCACCACCCATTTTTGGACCTACGGGAGATAGAACCTAGAACTCTTTGTATCAAGAGAGAGGTTTCATTAATTCTATCTAAAATTTTAATAAGTTTTCAAATTTTCTTTATTTAATATATATAATTTAATAACATGTTTTCTCTCTCACCAGCATTAAATGGAGGGTAAATGAAAAAAATTGTGATAAAATTTTAATGATATAACTTCTAAATAGTTCTGACAATAAAAAAACTTCTAAAAAGGACCGGAGGGAGTATACTGTTTTACTTATTATTGCTTCATGAATTTCTTTAGGTTGCGGATACTCAGAAACTAGCAGATATGGCTGCAAACTCTACAGTTGTTGAGTATGATTTCAAGAATCTCGAACCACCTATTCTATCCATGGAAGAGGCTGTTGAAAGATCTAGTCTTTTTGAAATTCCTTCTACGTCATATCCACAAGAAGTTGGTGATATATCAGAAGGAATGACAGAAGCAGATCACAAGATCCTTTCTGCTGAGGTGCATGGAATATATTTATCTTTGGTGTCCATATTTTGAATATTTTGAAAATTTTTGAGTATTAATTTCGTTGAATAATTTAAAATCTAGATTAAACTTGGGTCCCAATACTATTTCTACATGGAGACACAAACTGCACTTGCTATACCAGATGAAGACAATTGCTTAGTAGTTTACACTTCATGTCAAGGGCCAGAGTATGCACAGTCTGTTATTGCAAAATGCCTAAATATTCGTGAGCATAATGTTCGTGTAATCACAAGAAGGGTTGGTGGTGGTTATGGTGGAAAGTTCACAAAAGCCTTTCCTGTAAGTATCTGATTTTATATCATTATTTTTTATGTTCTTTCTACATTATAATTATATATATATATATGTATATCCAAAATATGTTCATCCCAATCATATGTTTCATTGTTAAAAGCTGGCAAAATATATGATTTTCTTTATAACAACTAACTAGAAATTGTGCATGATGTAGAAAGAGATGGAAGATATTTTTTTTAAAGAAAAATAATTCTAACATATCAGGTTACAATAGAATTGTATTTGAAGTTCAGCAAAAGAAAATGAATATTATATGCATAGTGTTCATGATTGTTTTGCCTATGTACTTACAACTAAATCTTTCAGATTGCTACGTCATGTGCACTTGCGGCGCATAAATTACGACGCCCTGTCAGAATGTATATGAATCGTAAGACGGATATGGTAATGGCTGGAGGAAGGCATCCTATGAAGATAACATACAATGTTGGATTTAAAAATAATGGGAAGATCACTGCTTTAGAACTCAAGATATTGATAGATCAAGGGATATATCCTGATCTATATGCATATGTTCCAACTACCATAGTTAATGCGCTTAAAAAGTATGATTGGTGTGCTCTGTCTTTTGATATAAAAATATGCAAGACTAATCTTCCTACTAGATCTATAATGAGAGCCCCTGGGGATGTTGAAGGATCATATATTGCTGAAGCCATAATAGAACATGTGGCATCTACACTTTCAATCGATGTAGATTCTGTAAGAAGCATTAATTTCCACACATACAAAAGTCTATGCACTTTTTACAAGGATGCTGCAGGTGAACCTCTTGAATATAACCTAGTTTCTATATGGAATAAATTAGCTGTTTCTGCAAGGTATGACCAGAGGAGAGAAACTGTGAAAGAGTTCAATAGGAATAACATTTGGAAAAAGAGAGGTATATCTCGTGTGCCTGTTGTGGATGAAATAAGTGGAAGGCCGTCACCAGGAAGAACAAGTATTTTAAAGGATGGGTCTGTTGTTGTTGAAGTTGGAGGGATTGAAGTAGGTCAAGGTCTGTGGACAAAGGTGAAGCAAATGGCTGCATATGCTCTTAGTTCAATCCAATGTGAGGGATCGCAAGACCTCTTGGATAAAATACGTGTCATACAATCTGATTCATTGAGCATGATTCAAGGAGGATATTCTGCCGGTAGTACTACATCAGAGTCAAGCTGTGAAGAAGTTAGGCTTAGTTGCAATGTCTTGGTTGGGAGATTAATGCCTTTCAACGAAAAGTTGCTGAAGGAAATGGGTTCTGTCAATTGGGAGACACTTATTTCCCAGGTGTGTGTGTGTTTTGGAAAGGTCAAACCATCCTTTTTTCACCCACTTGATATTTTGACAATAATGTGCAGAGGAGCTTTTTGACATGCATGTGTTAACTGTCCATATATTCTTTACATTGCTAAGTTTGTTTAGACTACACTTTTATGCATGATATGAAGGAAATAAATAAATTCTTCATGTTATAGAGAAGTGTGCTCTATAGTAACAACGCAATCCCTTAATCACTTATGAGTCTCATGGCTTCCACGGAATTTATATAAGACTTATTTTCATTTTCAAAAGCTATACAAATTCCAAGAACATTATCTAACTACCATGTAATCAACAATAATGTGTCCTTCTGCAGGCACACTCCCAAGCTGTGAACTTATCAGCAACTTCATTTTATACCCCTGGCAATGCCACCAACAGTTACCTCAATTATGGTGTTGCAGTGAGCGAGGTAAGTTTATTTCTTATCCAATTTCTTATTCAGAGAAAAGGCATTTTTCAAAGCTCATGAATGGTTATCTTTCTCAAATGTATTTGAAATTATGGGAAAAGTCAAAGTCATATTGTTGCATCATATCATCAATAATTGTTAGCTAATGGTCAAAGAATATTCTGCAGGTGGAAATAGATCTTATAACAGGAGAAACGATTGTTTTGCAAACGGATATTATATATGATTGTGGAAAGAGTCTCAACCCTGCTGTAGATTTAGGACAGGTAGGCCAGCTAATAATTTCTATCCACTACACTCTCTATTTCAATTATATAATTTTCATTTAAAGTAGTGTACAAAAATCATTCAATTAAAGATTGTTTAAAATCTATAAATATGCCACACTATTTAAACTATAAACAATGCAACTCATCTCAGACTCAATATTATGCATGGAAACATGTCAAGTTAAAAAGAAATATTAAATAGCTTATATTTTTTAAAAAATTAAATGCATTCACTAAAATTTATTTACTTTTTTCATGTCAAGATACATTTGTACTAAGTGAAATGCTTTTTAAACAAAAGACCAAATGAGTTTATTTTGAACTAAACTATCTGTCTTCCAAAAATTGCAATTTCCCATTATTAGTTCAGTTCTACTAGTTTAGTTAAATTATAGTGTTCAATTGTCCAACTATCTCATTCCTGGACTAAATTAGCATTTTTTATTCCATAAGTATAGTTATAATTAGTTTAGTTCTACTAGTTAATGATATATAAATATAGAAAGTTAACAATGTACACTAGTGAGAAATGATGAAGTTAATTTTGGGCTTTGGGCCAATGCATGATGCCCATGTCATTTAGAAGTTAAGGGACCAGTATAAGAAAACAAACTTAGATATATTCCAGGTTATGAGTTTTTCTTATGCTGATAAAATTGAAAGTTATTAGATTTTGAAATTGCTAAATTTGACACAATCATTTATGCTTGTTACAGATTGAAGGATCATTTATGCAAGGATTAGGGTTTTTCATGCTTGAAGAATATGAAACAAATCATGAAGGATTAGTCTTGCAAGATGGAACATGGAATTACAAAATCCCTTCATTAGACACTATACCTAAACAGCTCAATGTGGAAATTGTCAATAGTGGATATCACAAGCATCGTGTTCTCTCTTCAAAGGGTATGCCTTTTTAGTAGTTCAAATATTTGTTGATGTTCAACTTCATTAGCTTCATAGATTCTCAACTGAAAAAATATGAGTTCAAGTTGTCAGTCATCATTTTGTTAAATGAATCAATAATTATCAGAACAAGTATATATATTAAGATTAATTGAACACCATAATTCCATAGAAGATATGAAGTCTCTAGTTACTAAACATTTGATGGTGCATATTGTAAAGTGGCCTGGCAAGGAGAGAACCTCCTTATAAATGTTAAGAGAAATCGATGCATCTCTATCCAAAGGTGAGACCAGAAGAACTGATTATAAATGTTTAACTTGCGCCACGCACATGCCTCATGTCTTTTAGTTATCCCTTACAACTATTCTCTGGTTTTATTGTGAAGATTGAACAGTGCGTTTATCAAATTGCTTTGTTATTTAACTCTCCTCAAGAATTTAATAAATAAAGCAAGGCGTGGGTCAAGCTTCTCTTCAAGTTTTTTTTTTTCCCCTTTGCTTTTCAAGTGAACACAATATCGTCCTTCTCTGTGTATACTGATCATTTCACCAATATACTAGCATGAGAATTCTTATACTAAATGATACTTCAAATTTTGTTTTTGCAGCTTCCGGTGAGCCACCACTACTTCTAGCAACTACGGCTCACTGCGCTATTAGAGGAGCTATCAAGGAGGCTAGAAAACAGCTTCATTCATGGAGAAACTCAGATGAAATTGATAAACCATTCCAATTGGATGTGCCAGCAACCATGCCTGTGGTAAAGGAATTTTGTGGATTGGACGTTGTGGAAACATACTTGAAATGGAAAATGGGCAAAATGTGTGAAGGTTCTCAACTTCTCGGGAAATAGATTGGTGTGGATTTCATGTTTGGAAGAGGAGGGAATGTGTACTGGTTTTTCGAAGTTTTATGTGGGTCATATTTTCGTTTTATTTTAAATTATATATTTTGGAAAAAAAAAAATTGTTTGCTCCCCTCTGGTGTTTTCAAAATAATTTCATATCTTCGGATATTAATTTAGCTGCATGATCAAAGATATTTTAGGGAGTTCTCCTTTTTCTTTGTTGCTTGTAAATTTGATGTTTTATGTACCAGTTGAGACATTATAAATAGGGAGAATTTCAAAACATGACAAGAGATGTGACATTATTATAGATGATAGATGCAAAAATTGATGATTTCATCAACAAATTTAAAACTTAAACTAACTAGTTAATTAAATTTTTTGAATATTTAATTTTTTTAATGAAATTTCAAATTTTCACTATTAAATAAAAACATTATTCAAAATAAGACTAAATCAGATTTATAGAGTATATGAAAATATAAAATACCAATCGTTTGAAAAACATTGTAAAAAAAGGACAAAAAAAATGTCATTTTACAAATTATAGGTTGTTCGCTACAGCCAATTATGCATTCATCATGGCAAATCACACTGAGATTAATTTGATCTACATAATAGTCAATATTTTATATATAGACGATGGGAGTAATTTGCTTAAAATTTTAAAGTTTAGGATTCAAAACGTTACTTATATAATAGTTTAGGATCTATAGCACTAATTAACTGGAGCACATGGTAAACAATAACAGTATTAAAAAGGTTAATGTTAGGGTTTAATTTGCTACAAAATTAAAAATTTAAGATTTATTTTATATATTTTAAATTTTTAGGATTTGGGATGTTTTTCAAGCAAAAATTCATGATCTATTTTGCCCATTAATCCTTTTATTTATTTATTTACATAAAATTGGCCCCACCAGCCAACCATCACACGCTGTGGATGAGGACAGGATAAGCAGTTACCTCATGTACTAACTGTTTAATCCTTCTTTCATTAAAAAAAAAAAAAACTTTTTACATAATTGTAAAGTTGGTATCAAAATATCATATTGTTTAAAATTATTTTTATTTTATTATTTTGAGAATTGATGTTTTATAGAACATGTTTTGAGAAAAAATAATAAAAATAAGTATTTTTCTCATTTTTTTTATTTTTTAGAATAATAATCCTAAAAACCTAATAGTTATTTTTATTTTTTTTATTTTTTTTAAAATAATATTTTATTTTTTTATTCTCCAAAATAATTTTTAAAAATATATTACCAAATGAATTTTTTATTTTTTATTTTAAAAAATAAAAAACTGTTCTCAAAATTGTGAAGTAAGCCCTTCAAAATCTTTTGTTTTGTTGTGAGTTGGCATCGATATCAGATTGGCAGGCCCTACATGCAGTGACACCACCTATTTTGCACACACATTGTTTTCCTTCTGTAGTAAAGTTCGCATCTATATCGAACTTTAAGAGATTACCGGTAAAACCCAAAAAAAAAAATAAAAAAATTAAGGGAACCAAAATGTCTCATAATTTTTTCTTTAAAAGCATCCATTATCTTTAAATAAAAAAAGGAATAAAAATTGTGATGAGCTTGTACGTTTGTTAATATTGACAATTAAAAAAAAATCAAACATAAGGTGACAAATATTCAAAAACTTTTTTTTAATAACTTTTTATATCCTTAAGTCAATAATAATATATATATCGATTAATTTTATAAAAAAAAGCCATAAAGTCAAGTTTAGTCCTAATAACTCAAGCTTTTGATCTTATTTGAGTTAGCCCAATTATTCAAATTTTAAATATTATTTTATTTTTTTATTTATTCAATTTTAATTTTTATCTTAAAAATTAAAATTTTCTATTTTTATCTTATTTTATTGATAATAAAAAATAATTCAATTATTCAGGTTAAACCCATTTGGATTTGGACTTAATTCATATTTTTCAAGCTTATTCAAGCACCCACAATATGCTTGGAAGAAGAAAAAAAATTTAGAACACTCAAGTGCAGCCATAAAATTCCCCAATATGTTAAAATAATTAAACATTAATTGCAAAGTTCTAAGAATAGAACGTAATAAACTAGGAAATGTTGATTTATTTTATAACATTAATGGCTACTCATGCACCAATGTTAACTTTAGAATACGCAAAGTTCCTAGAAAAAAAATTATACTCCCTCTATTTAAAAATGTAAGTCATTTTTTGAGGAGTTGGATGTTAAAAAATATAAGACATTTTTAATTTTTTTAGGTGTAATTATTATCTTTTTTTTAAAGTGCCTATATTGATATATGATTGTATTTATTATAAGGTGTTTAACAATGGTAAATATAAAAAAATAGAGTTAGTTCAAAAGTAGGTAACTATTTTATTGGAGGTAATATTCAGTTAAAAATGCCTTATATTTTTAAACAAAAGGAGTAGGTATTTTTGCACCTTATATTTGCTTCATTTTTTTAATGATCAATGTTAACAAATGTTAGTCAAATTTAATAAAATGGAAACTATTGCACTCATTATAACAAGTTCATGGGTATTCTTACACATTTACACCTAAAAGTGCTAAATGCCCTTAGAGAAAAAGTTAATGAATATTTTTATCCTTTAATCCTTAATTTTAATATTTTAAATGCTCATGCACGTAGTATTTTTATTTATATTACATAACATTAAATAATTAAAACCTTTTCTGCAACTACAGATTTCTCTAATTACATAACATTTTATTTTTGTTTATATAACGGACAAAAAAATCACATAAAAAGACTTGAAAATTATAAATTTTATTTGTTGATCATCTATAATTTTTTGGATTTTTCGTAATTATTAAATTCAGTTTTGATAATTTTTAAATTAATTAGCAGCCAAAATTAACAGTAAGAGGAGAATGCCATGATTTTTTAAATGTTTAAGAGTAAAAATGAATTAAAAATAAGTTTAGAGTCTCAAATATTCCTTGGCTTATAATTTAAAGGTCAAATTATAATTTTATCCTTAATTTTTTAATCAAAAAATTAGCACTCATGTTTATAAAATTATAAGCACAACGTTGTTGTGGCATTTGAAATATTAATTAGCTATTGTTTGGGTTAAAATGTAATTTTCTTTTCCTAAGCCCAATTATTTGGCTAAAATTTAATTTTGGTCCAACTCTCACTTTAAGCTTGTAGAAGGGGGGTGATTGATGAAGAGGCTGGATCATCCTAAGCATCTTTTTGAAGTATTCTAATTTTTTTAAGTATTCCAATTTTACAGAGACTGGATCATCCTTCTAGAAGCGGAAGTATTCTAATTTTTTTAACTATTCCAAATGTGTATTTTATATTTTTATAATAATAAAAAGAATTAATTTAAAAGTAAAAATTGAAATTTGTTTTGAAAATAAAAAATTGTTAATTTGGATTAGCTCCAATAAACTTGAAGCTCAAGAATGTCAAGGTTGGGTTTGACTATAAAATTTTTTTATATTTTTAATTTTTTTTAGCCCAAACTAAATAAGCCTCACTTAAATTGATAAGCCCAACTTAAATTAGCTTGGCTTGCTCAAATTATTGGTTTTGGAAAGAAGCCACAACACATACACCAAGACCTCTCAAACTTTTAGAGCCGGTAATTCAGGCCGAGCCTGATGGGCTAACCCGAATCAGTCTGAAAAAAATTAGGGCCACATTTAAAAAAATTATAATATTTTTATGTTTGGGCCTATTCAGGCTCCCGAATAAGCCTGAATATCCAAATAATTTATTTTGTTTTCACAAAATATATAAAAAAATAAATATTAATTAATTATTTAAATTTTAGGTCATTTTATATTAAAATATCATATATTTGAGTCTTATACATCATTTAAGTATCAAAAAAATATATTTTTGTAAATAAAATAATTAATTTTAAAGTAAAAATTTTAATTAAAAATGATTTTAAAAATAAAATTTAAGTATTTGGATTGCCCGAAGAAATTCAGACCAGGCTTAGCTATTCGGATTTTTTGAGGAGTTGAGCTTATTCGGGTTAAGTCTAAATGAGCCCAGCCCGTCCGAATTTCTAACTCTACAAACTTCAACCAATTTAATAGGTTGCAATTACTTCAACACTTGATCTTATCAATCCAGATACTTCCTTCTTCAACAAATTCGATGCAGTTCCTTTACAGCAGCACATATCCAGTAAAGAGTAGCGGGTTCTCTAACAATCAATAGGACTCTGGCAATAATGTTTTATAACTTTAAAAACTTTAAAATTAACAGAAATATTGTAAACTATATTTCAATACAGATTGCTGATAATCAACAAAATGGAATTTTTGATTTAACATCTATTGTTATTATTATCAATGTTTAAAAATCTTACCGGACAAGTAAACGAGAATTGGGATTTAAAGGAAGGAATTAGTTACTCATAACGCAGAAAATCAAGTCACCAAGATGAGAATCCTTTCTCATTAAATAACATTTAATAATATTAATTTAAATGTTTCTTACGAAAACTTTTTGAATTAATAAGAAATAAATTAATATTTTTGTCTCCCTCGTTTTCCATATCCTTCCCGCTCTTTAATATTATTATTATTAATATAATATTAAAATCAAGGCATGCATCACGATCCGGTTTTTAAAAACTTAATTATTATCACTTTTTGACAAAATCATTCAAAGCCCGTGTAACATTCTGGAATTTCGTCGGTCTAATGCACTATACGTGAAGCCAATGCTCACCAAACCGTCTGTACAACTACTACTTGCATGTACCAACAGGAATTAATTTGAGTGATAAGCAACGCAATTTTATTTAAATAAGGTCTTAAATTCAAATTTTGTGTATGTAAAAAATTTTTACTAGAAGACTCACCCATCAAATCAGGTGTACTACTCCGGTCAAATCCGGATGTATGAAATTAAAAGCCATTTACATGGCAATTAGTTAGTGGTCGCCTATAGTTTGATAGTAAAATTCTCCATCCAACCTATTATATAAGTTATAATTAATTAATCCATAATTTATAAATAATGATAGTTAAAACCTCAGATTTTTACAAGTGTCAATATTTTTTATTCATACCATTATTAAAATACTTTATATAAGAGTCTTGATAATAGTAATTAAAATTTTAAAATATTTTAAAAAATAAGAATAATAACTAAAATGAAAGTATAGTTAAAAAAATAAATACAAAACTTGTCTATCATCCTATATTTTGAATAAAATAAAATTTTTAAAAGAAATTTTATATTATACTTTTCAGGGAGTAGTAGCTGCTACCAGTAGAGGCTGTGGCCCCCGTACACCCCAAATTTTGTTTAAAAAAATGTAATGTTGTTTATGAAAAATGTAAAAATAACTATTAGTTCCCACATTTGGATAAAATGTCAGTTATGATCCCTACATTTAGATGAAATTTTAATTATGACCCTCAATGTGATGAATTCTGAATTCGCCCCTGCTAGTAGTAGATATTTCTTCTTGTCTTTAACATAAGACAAAGTTTAATTTAAAAATTTTTTAATTCTAAATATGAGATGAAATTATCTTGGCCAAAAAATCTCACCGAGGGCATTGGATATAAACTCCATTTCAAACTCCCAATATTTGTTCATTGTTTCTTTCATGTTTCAGGTTTCTCAAGTTTTATATATCTCTACAAAAAATAATGAATTCGCGGCTGGTGGTGTTAAATAATTCTAGCAAGAAAAAGATCAAATCGTTCTTTTTATATATAAAGACCAAATCAACTAGAGCCGGGAAAATGGGTCGAGCCCGTAGGGCCTACCCGTTTAAGCCTGTATAATAGGAGGGCCAGGCTTATAATTAGGACCTTAAAATGGAAAATGGTCTCAAATAGGCTGGCCCGTTTAGGCCTTAATTTAAACGGGCTGGCCCTAAAGGGCCGAGGGCCAGCCCGTTTAAGCCCTTGATTTTTTTTTAATTATGGACATAATGAGTGAAGGATTAATGGGCTAGACAAAAATTGTGTAAGTTGGACTTGGAGCCCATATTTAGTTATTTACTAAAGGACAAAAGGAGGAAATTTAAAAAAAAAACCCTAAGTTCTTGTTCTCAGAATCTCACCCTCGGTCTCATTTTCGTCAGTCTCACGCTCTTACTGTCTCAGTTTGTGTCTTTGTATCTTGCACAATGGGTGGTCGGTGGCAGTGGCAGACGGTGATCTTTCTTTCAGACTTCATTCTTCGATCTTTCTGACTATCTTGAGGCTCTCATCTCGCTTTTACCTCGCTCTCACTCTCGTCTGTTGCTGTAGCAGCTCCACCATCGATTGTCGTCGGATCTGCATTCTTAATCTTGTTCTCAGTCTCACTTCCGTTAGTTTGTGGCTCCGTGCACAGTAGGTGGCAATCATTTTTCTCTTTCAATCTTTGGTCTTTCTGACAAGCTGGAGACTTGAGGCTCTCATCTCGCTCTCATCCATTACTGTAGCAACTCCAAGCTCGAATCAACGTCGTCTGATCTATATTCCAAGCTGCTAGTTGTTGTGTTTTTCGCACAGCTCTCCATCGTCTGATCTCCCTCCTCAACTCGAATCAACCTTCAAATGTTGTAGTTCTAATCCTCACCGTGGCGTTGATCTTCCACCGTCTTATTGTTACCGTCGAGGTCGTGCAATGAGTTCTCTTTTACTTGCGTGTTCTTTGATATATTAAACGTGCTGTTCACCAATCTTTGTTCTCGCGAATTCACAGCTGTATTGTACTGAGTTCCCTATTCTGTGTGCTGAGTTCTAGTATTCTTTGTTCCCGCATCTGTTGAATCACGCACAATCGCTCGCACAGGTTTAAGCTTTCTCTTTTTTTGCTTGGGTTTAGGTATTTGAGTGTTCTGTTCGAACTTTGATTTGTGAGTAATTTATTCCTTTTACTTTGATGCAATGCAACAGGCAGAGAGTATTTGAAATTTATAATGTCTGCTTCACAATCACATAAGAGTAAGAGCAAAGCAACCAATGTCTCTAGCAATGATTTAGCCAAGTGTGATGATAGAACATTGATAAAGAGTGGTATGTTCCCTAGTTTAGTTGCTGGTATAGTTCAAGAGGCAGAGGACGTGCAGGTGGATGATGAACTAAAAGCTAAAAGGTCCAGAGGTAAGTCATGTTCTTCTGTTCAAGAGACCGATGAATCCAAGTCTAAAAAGGCTAGAACTTTAACATCTGATGTTTGGAAGTATTTTACTAGAATTGAGGTTAATGGAAAACCTAAAACAAGGTGTAATGGCTGTCAAACTTTATTAGCATCTGGTGGGACTAATGGTACTTCACATTTAAATAGGCATGCTAGATCTTGTAAAGTTTTGGACAAATTTCATGATATTAGAGTGATGTTATTGGATAAAGAAGGCAATATTAGATGTCAAAAAATTAATAATATGCGAATTCGGAGGATTATAACTATGGCCATAATTGAACATGATCTTCCTTATTCCTTTGTTGAATACAAGTGGATCAAAGAACTACTTTTGACATTGAATCCTGATGTTAGGCTTTTTACTAGAAAAACTGCTGTTGCTGATGTTATGAAATTCTTCCTTCGATAAAAAGAAAATTTAAAACAAAAGTTGAAGAGAAGTAATAGTAAAATTTGTTTGACATCTGATTGTTGGACTTCTGTGAGTTTTGAAGGGTATATTTGTTTGATAGCTCATTTTGTGGATGAAAGGTGGAAATTATGTAGTAAAATACTTTCATTTTGTAAAATGGAACCTCCACATTCTGGGATAGAGCTAGCTAGAAAAGTGCATGAATGTTTGACTGATTGGGAGATTGACAATAGAACATTCTCCATTACTTTAGACAATGCATCTGTAAATGATAATATGCAGGACATATTGAAAGAGAGGTTGAGTTTGCAAGATGATTTCAAATTAGTGAGTAATGGAGAATTTTTTCATGTGAGGTGTTGTGCTCACATCCTAAACTTGATAGTTCAGGAGGGTTTGAAAGTTACAAGTTCTGCTTTGCATAAGATTAGAGAAAGTATTAAATTTGTGAAAGCATCAGAGGCAAGGTCAATTCTTTTTAAACAATGTGTTGAGCAAGTTGGTAGCATTAACACCTCAATAGGCTTGCGACTAGATGTGCCCACTAGATGGAATTCCACCTACACAATGCTTGAAAGTGGAATTAAATATCACCGTGCTTTTGCACATATGGCTATCAATGATACAAATTACAAATTTGGTCTCACAAATGATGAGTGGGCTAGAGCAGATGCGATGTGCAGCTTCTTGAGGCCATTTGAGAAGATTACAAGGTTAATTTCTGGGTCATCATATCCTACATCAAAACTCTTATTTTATGCAAATTTTCAAAATTGAGATGTTGCTTGATGCAAATATGAAAAGCCCTAATCTTGTGATTCAAGAGATGGCTAGGAAAATGAAACAGAAGTTTGACAAGTACTGGAATGAGTACAGTATCATTCTTGCACTTGCAGTAGTTTTTGATCCAAGATGGAAGTTTAATATAATACAATATTGCTATACGAAGATTGACCCTATCACTTGCTATGAAAAGGTTGCTAATATTAAGAGCAAGTTAATATTCATGTTTAATGAATATTCAAGTATGGGGACATTTACCAATCTTTGAGTTGATGGGGCTGCAAGTGGATCAAGTTATAAAGCTTCAACGGTCACTACTCATCATTCTGCCTTGGCTTCAAGTGTTTCAACATCAGCCTCTTTTGATGATGCCTTTGATGTAAGTTTTAAATTCTTTGTCTTTTTAAATTCTTTCACCTTTTTCATTAATCTAGTATTTGTTTGATATTTTTTTAATCCTTTATAAATACATGATGCAGGATTATCAAGATATTTATGCAATTATGGACCATTCTTCCTTGGATAAGTCTGAACTTGAAAATTATTTGGAGGAACCAATACTAAAGCCTGATAGTTGGAAAGAATTGGATGTCTTAAACTGGTGGAAGAGTAATCAACATCGATATCCAATTCTTTCAAGGATGGCGGCTGATATTCTTAGCATTCCGATCACTACAGTAGCAAGTGAGTCAGCTTTTAGCATCGGTTCACGCGCCCTAACAAAGTATCGGAGTTCCATTCTTCCAGCTAGTGTTCAGGCTATCATTTGCGTTCGTAATTGGTTACATGGTTTTGTGTATAATGGTAATTTTAATTTCAATTTATTTTATTTTTTACCATACAAATTACAAACAACATGAGAAATAATAACTATAATTGTGTGAGTATTTTTGTTTATTATTTATTGCAGATAATAAAGGTGAAGAAGAAGAAGAAAGTCTTGATATTTTTGCCCCTGATGAGCCAGCTATAAGTGGATCACAATCAAATTTTGTTGAGCTTGATGATAGTGAAGAAGAAGAAGATAATGATGATGCTACCAACATTTGAGTTATTGAGTATTTAAGTGTATTTATTTAAATATTTTCATGAGACTATGGTTCTTGGTGGTGGATACTGTACTGGATAGGTTTAGCTCATCTTGGCTTCATTGCATGCTATCATTTTCATTTAGATTGTGTTTCTAACATCTAGCTTATTTAGATGTTTTGTTTCTTTAGATATTGCTACTTGTTTATTGTGCATAGTTTGATTGTTTATTACTTATTGTTATTTAGCTTATGTCATAAAGGAATGATTGAACCAATTTTAATTTGAGAAAAAAATAAAAAAAAGGCAAAAGGGCCCTAAGCCCGTAGGGCCGGCCCTAAGCCCGTTATGCTTAGGGCTGGGCTTCAGGATTGAACCCCTTAAAGGGAACTCGGGCTTAAATGGGTTGGCCCTTTTAGGCCTGAGCCCTTCAAGGGCTAGCCCTATAGGGCCGGGCCAACCCGTTTTCCCAGCTCTAAAATCAACATTCCTGGCTATTGGGGATAAGGATGGTACTTGGCAATAGGAACTAGGGTTCATGTTGAGGATGTTAATTGACAAAATGATCCTTGAGTAAAATCCATGCATTTTTAGCAACATTAAAATTACCAAAATGCTAAATATTCCATGTCATCCCCATTGTATTTTTCTTTTTCTCCTTAGTCTGATGTGGCATTTGCTATTAAATTTAACAGTGATTTTGACAGTAAAGTGTTGCTTGTCGTGATTTAAAAGGTGAGGGTGTTAATTTTTAACTTTTAAAAGATCAGGGCTCTTAGATGAAAATGATGCAAGTTGAGGTATTTTTAGATATTTTAGCCTTTTTAAAACTATGTGAACCTCCACCATAATCGACAGTCACAAAATACAAGCCACTTTTCTACAGTTTAGAATTCAGTTCCATCAATCTAAATTGACCACTAAATCACATGTTGGAATAAAATACCTCTGTTTAAACTTGAATGTTATCCAAAACTCAGTCAAGTTATCCTAAACAAGTTAATAAATGAATATATATATATATATATATATTATTTATATTTTAAATTTCTTAGTTAGTTATTTAAACTTATTTATTAAGTCATTTTTATAAAATTTTGGAAAAAAATATATCTAGGTCTCATATAAGAGAATTTATTATTAAAAGGTCTTATAAAATTCACAAAATGATCGTTTTCAATTGTAAATATCCTTATTCAAATTGCAAATGCATAGAATTTGAGACTTGAGAGTATTCTATAAATTTTATAGGACTTTTTGATAACAAATTACCTTATGTGGGATCTATTAGCAATAGCTGGTGAAATCTAGTCTGAGTCATACCCAAGGACATTGTCCTTAAGAGCTATTCCGCCACATTAGGTTGATCGCGCAACCGCTCTTCAGAATTAAACAGACTCTTCCTACTAAAAGTAGGGACACAGATCAATAGAAATTCATAGAATATACTCAGGTAACTGCACAATGAACTAGTATGATAGAAGAGGAGAGAGAGGCTGAGAGTCCCAACATTCTCTTTGAACCTGTGGCAAGCATTGCCTTTTATAGGCAGATCTCATAATGTTGGGCAATAAAATCACCTTAATCACAATTAAAAAATAGTTTCAAATAACAATGTTATTTAAATTATATGTTATAAAATAATAAATAGACTTAAATAATAATTAATATTATTAATTTATAATAATTCTTTTTTGAAATACTCAAAATATTTATAATATCCAACAGCATCCATATGTAATTTTTCCTTCATAGAGAGATCATAGGTATGCCTGCATGTCTCATACATCTCTATTATAAAGCTTCGTCTTTAGAGATAGGGATACAAAGAAGGACAAAACTTCATAAAAAAGAAAAAAGAAAGAAAGAAAGAAGGACAAACAAACATACATAGAGAGATATAAATGAGTGTCAGATAGCATTATTATTTCTGTGAGCAAAGGGAGTGGGGCTTTGTGAATTGAAGACTGTTCATCTTTGAGCTTTTGCTGGGTTCATCTGAGAAATGAAGGAGAAGGATGGAGGAAGAAGAACAAAGAGTTTGATTTTTGTAGTGAATAGAGAGAGATTTGAGCTCTCAAGCGTTGACCCGTCAACCACTGTGCTTCAGTTCTTGCGTTCTCAAACTCCATTCAAGAGCGTCAAGCTTGGTTGTGGCGAAGGTCTGTCTCTAAATTGTTTCTTGTGACAAAAAGATCTCAAAAAGATCAATTAATTTAAATTAGATCTCAAGTATTAAATTTTAAAAATTTGTAACTCAATCTTTCAATTTTATAATTGTGTTGTGATGAATTTACAACTTATTTTTTAAATTTTAACATGATTGAAGAATAAAAAAAACTTATTTTTTTGTTAAAATTTAAAATATAAGTTGCAATTTAAATTAGGTTGTTTAAATTTTAATTGGGTATAATTGATTATGTTATAACATAATCTATTTAAATATTATTTTTTTAAATTGATTTTAATAGAATTAAAAATGTTTGGATGATTTAGTCACAATAAATTTTAGCGATACAAACTACCATAAAGGATACTGCTTTTTAAAATTAAATTATTGATAAAGTTGTATATAATATTATTAAATTTGTTAAACTTTATTTAAGAAGTAAAATATATTAACTCATGTATCTGATTAATTATAGAGATGAGAAAATAGCATTCAAGGACTATTGTATAAAATTTATACCCATAAAGACTAAATGATTTCAAAATAGCTCTGCAACCCTCTAGTCCTTCTGACATATCAATTCCATAAGCTAAAAGACTGAAATGCCCATCAAGTAGTTAAAAAAAAAAAGAAAAGAAACCCCACCGTCAGTGGCCACCGTCGATGGTGAGGTTATTGGAGCCCCTATTGCTGGAGCTCCGGTGCTAGTAATATTTTATTTGAGAAATAAATTTTTTAGGTTTAGTTATATGTGTTGGTCATTCACTAACAAGTACCCGTTTGATTTTAACAACAATCTATTTGTGATTGACAATAATACATTGGGACATTTAACAAGTAAAATGAGTGAAGTTTTGAAGCTTCTAATTTATAATTGTCCATGTCAAATTAACAAGTAACATTTGTAAAATAATAACAATTCATTTGCAATTAACAAGAATATATTATAGTTTTAACAAGTTAGAAAAATTAATAAAAAATGTTTAGTTATACGTGTTAGTCATTCATTAACAAGTACCCCTTTAATTTTGACAACAACCTATTTGTGATTGACAATAATATATTGGGCCATTTAACAAGTAAAATGTGTAAAGTTTTGAAACTCTCAATTTGTAATTGTCTATGTCAGATTAACAAGTGACATTTGTAAACTAATAAATTCCGTTTAGAAATTAATAATACGCCATTATATTATTATATGAAAGTGATTTTATACTTGGTTTACTACTTTTTTTTTGGCCATATGTTATTAAAGAGCTTGGTGGCTTTTTAGATGGCCAAGGATTATAGGATCAAACTCTCCCTTGACCACCTAAAAAGTTGATTTCTCAAATAAAATGTTATCGGTGTCAGAGCTTGGGCCACCAATTGTCAACTTCTTTGCCTGCAGCAAAGGCTTCGATGACTTTACCTTTGGCGGTGGTCTAACAGCCGGTGACGGTGGGGGGTTTCTTTCTTTTTGTTTTTTTTAACTACTTGAAGGGCATTTCAGTGTTTTCGCTTATGGAATTAATGTTAGAAGGACTAGAGGATTGCATAACTATTTTAAAATCATTTAGTCTTTATGAGATATAAATTTTATATACTGGTTCTTGGATGCTATTTCCCTATATAAATTTAAATTACATTAATATTAACAACTTAATTTACAAAAATAAATAACTCAATATATCTAAAATTGGTTAAGAGAGAATACTACGATACCCAGGCTAACATTGGCAGGTGAAGAATTTTGACAAATAATTAATAGTCTACTGCAAAATTGATTAAGAGAAGCTGGCAAGGAGAGCTTACCAGTGAACATGGTTTAGCTTAAATAATCAATAATCGATTAGCTGAAAATCGTACTGTTTGGGTAATTTTCACCCAAACCATGATTTTCTCCCAAGGAATCAATTATTTGGCCAATCCAAACAGGCACACAGACATTAAGTGTCTTTTTCTACCAGTGTCACAAGAGTTCTTGATTTAATTAGTGTTTTTTTTTTGGCAATACTAATAAAACAAGCCATTCAAATGCTATGAAGAGTGATATGATTTAGAGTCCCGTTTGTGCCTCAATTGGTTCCATTAATTAATAAGCATATTGAAACCTTGTTAAGTTTTAGGGGCTGGTCTTTGTTGTACTTAATGTGTTAAAATTACCTGATTTAGTTTGTCCAGGCACTACAAAAAACCAAGGCTTTCAACCACAAAAATCACAACCGAAAGTAATCATAAAAGCTGTTTCAAAAAGTTTGACTTTTTGTGACAATAACAAAAGTCGTTGCAAAAAATATTAGCCGTAAGTAAAGTTACAACGACAACAATGATGTCTAAAATGATTGCTAAAATTTTGATTTTTAAAATCGACTTTAAAAAGGGGCCACTAAGTATAAAATTTTTAATTTTTTTAATCAATATCTAACATTAATTTTAATTTAATACATTAAATGTATTTTATTATTGTAATTTTATAATAAACAAATAAAACAAGCTAATGGATTTTTGTTTTGAAAAAATAATAATAAAATTTCTCTATTTTATATAAATGATAATTTGATTTCTTCAAATATCATAGTCTCACTGAAATCCTTAAAAACCTTTATATCATACTGTCATTTATAAATTAATGTAAATGATTAAATTGTCTTCAATTTTGTCACAAGTTTTGTGTGAAGAATAACATTTTTTTCCTTAAAATAACAAGAATACAATAATAAAATACAAGTTTGCATGTCAAATTTTTAATATTATTAAAATCATCGAAATAACAAGTTTCAATTATAAATTTTATTTAAAAAATTACAACTTTTCCTTTTAAAATTGTAAGAATGCAATAACAAATCATAAGTTTGCATGTCAAGAGCAA